GGGCTGTGCTGGGATTTTGATGTAACACAATTCGACTTTCAAACATCTTGGTTCCCTCTGCTGGACAAAAGAACAACTGCAACTGAGGAGACAGCTGTGGTTGAATATGCAGAGCAGAAACATTCATGAATTGAATACCGGGATAATAAATACAGAGCTACAAATAATATTTTTGGAACTATTGTGAGTGCACAAGAGCAACCTGGATTCACCACCAATCAAATTAACTTGGGAAAAAACTATGGGGGCTGAAAAGAGCAATGCACAGACGCCTCTGCGGTTGGAAAAGATACTTCAAACCGCTGCAGCTTCATTTAGACCTGGGAGCAGAGTGTGGCTCCCACTACAGATCAGTAAGACGCCCTGTCTGTGACTGTGATGTACCAGGACATACTGTAGCCTACAATGCATGCATAAGAAGAGGACAAGCAATGGCCCTAAGAGCTTTTACCTGCCGCTTGATGATGCTGGACGTTGTGTCAGAAGATGTGCTGCCATCTGAGCGTTTGAAGCGACTCTTCCGCTTAGGCAGCTTCCTGGGCAGCTGTGATGAAAGAGACCATTCAGGTGAAAGAAAAATGGGAGCAGAGCAAATACTCCTGAGGCACAAGCTAACAGATAGAAGGACAGACTAGCTTATCACAGCAGTAAACTAGACACCCAAAGGCCCCAGCGGTTGACACGCCTCTGCAATGTTGCAATGTTGGTGGGTCCTCTTTTTAAGAAGGGGGACCGGAGGGTGTGTTCCAACTATAGGGGTATCACACTCCTCAGCCTCCCCGGGAAAGTCTATGCCAGGGTACTGGAGAGGAGAATTCGACCGATAGTCGAACCTCGGATTCAGAAGGAACAATGCGGTTTTTGTCCTGGCCGTGGAACACTGGACCAGCTCTATACCCTCTTCAGGGCAGTGGAGAGTTCATGGGAGTTTTCCCAACCAGTCCACATGTGTTTTGCAAATTTGGAGAGGCATTCGACTGCGTCCCTCGTGGCGCCCTGTGGGGGGTGCTCCAGGACTATGGGGTCCGGGGCCCTTTGCTAAAGGCTGTCCGGTCCCTGTACGACCGGAGCAGGAGCTTGGTTAGCATTGCTGGCAGTAAGTCAGACTTGTTTCCAGTGCATGTTG